TTATTTTTTAGTGTATTGTTTTGTTAATTCTAAAGTAATGCGTAGTTTTATTTTTTTAAGTTATGAGTAGGTTATTACTAGGTTAAGTTATTTTTAGTTTGATAATAATTTTAAGTTATTTTTAGGTTATTTCTAGGTTATTCCTGGGTTATTTTTAAGTTATTTACAGGTTTATGCGCAGGTTATTCATAGGTTATTCCTATGATATTTTTAGGTTACGTCAGGTTATTCGTAGGTTATTTGTACGTTATTTTTAGTGTATTATTTTGTTAATTTTGAAGTAAAACGTAGGTTATTTTTTTAAGTTATGAGTAGGTTATTACTAGGTTATTCCTGACTGATTTTGAGGATATTTTTAAGTTATTTTTAGGTTATTCCTAGGTTATTCCTGGGTTATTTTTAAGTTATTTTCAGGTTTATGCGTAGGTTATTGATAGGTTATTCCTATGGTATTTTTAGGTTATGCATAGATTATTTGTAGGTTATTTCAGGGATATTTTTAAGGCATTATTTTGTTACTTTTTAGGTTCTGCGTATGTTATTCGTAGGTTATTTGTTGATCTAGTTTTAGGGTATTCCAGTATTAATAACAGTATTAATAACATGCATCGTATTCCTGTATATTGATGACTAACATTTTTTGGTGATTCCAGTGTTAATAACATGCATCTTAATGAATAAAGAGTCAATGAATTGTAGATGCCGACCATCAGCAGTTAGAGAGGTGTTGGATAAGGTTCAGCCAATTGTTGATTTTGAGACTTGGTCAACTCTGGAAAGAATGAAGCTTAATTAGTTTTTTGATCTGCCCCCTATCCTCCAGATCACATCCTAACTATGCAAAAGTTCAGGATATAATCGTTAGTAGTTTGCCACCTTATTTAATTCTTATGATGAATGTTTTTTGCAGGTTCTTGATTCTTTTGTTGATTTAATAGACGAGGAGCATAGTTTACTTACCCCTCTAGCTGGCCCACTCTCGTCTCCTGTAAAGTCAATCTGAGAACCCAAAATTCACATTCATCTGCTAGTCTTGATAAACTTATTATTAAATTTTTGTTGTCTAAATATTATTTCCTTCCATCAATTTTAGTGTACCCACTGGGCTCTATTCATTTGCTGAGAATGTAGATAGTTTTTCTTCATTTAATTGGGCCGCAACAGTATGCGACCATCTAATTGAGCAGGTCAATGCTTGCGCAATGAAAATAATGATGGGCAGCCATTGAGATACATGAATGGGTTTGTTTTTCTTCTAAAGATTAGTATATTGCTTAAACTCAATCAGAAAAAGCTTTTTTCATCTTATTTGGGTTACATTAATTTCTGATTTATTAATCGTGTTTATGCAGTTGTGGTTTTATGAGCGCACACTTGTGATAGCCCCGGCTCATCCTGACGTCAGACCTCGTATGTTGAGGTGGCTAATAAATACAGGGTGAAACCCTCCGAAGATTCATTTAATCTTTAAGCAGCTTAGTCCTCTACAGGTGAATGATATTAATGTATGTTTTAAGTTCAGGATATAATCGTTAGTAGTTTGCCACCTTATTTAATTCTTATGATGAATGTTTTTTGCAGGTTCTTGATTCTTTTGTTGATTTAATAGACGAGGAGCATAGTTTACTTACCCCTCTAGCTGACCCACTCTCGTCTCCTGTAAAGTCAATCTGAGAACCCAAAATTCACATTCACCAAACAACATCAGAGTCTCATGGTGATATTCCTTTTGTACATACTCGCAGTATCCCGCCACCCACACAGTCACATTTGGGTTTAGAAGATATATGACAAACTCTGAGGAAGCAACAACAAATTTGAGTTCAATTGAAAGTGCGACCATCTAATTGAGCAGGTCAATGCTTGCGCAATGAAAATAATGATGGGCAGCCATTGAGATACATGAATGGGTTTGTTTTCCTTCTAAAGATTAGTATATTGCTTAAACTCAATCAGAAAAAGCTTTTTTCATCTTATTTGGGTTACATTAATTTCTGATTTGATTTATTAATTGTTTTTATGCAGTTGTGGTTTTATGAGCGCACACTTGTGATAGCCCCGGCTCATCCTGACGTCAGACCTCGTATGTTGAGGTGGCTAATAAATACAGGGTGAAACCCTCGGAACCTGGAGAAGGCATCCCTAAAGACCTAATTGGTAGCTTAGTCCGAAGGATCAAGTCCAGAGGACCGAGGAAAAAGAGGATGATTAGTTCTCCATTTATTGTTGTAAAGAAAAAGAAGCTGGAAGAAGTTCCGTCCTCGAATATAGATGATTTAGTATAGCATATTTATGAGTCTTCCACGTTGATTACCATACCATCTCCACGGTTCCATTTTAAAAAATTTCTTATATATTTATGGCCAGCTTGGAAGGCCCTCTTACTTGTGAGGGTAACCGCTTTCTCCATGAGTTATTGTAAAAGAACTGGTAGGTAGATATGTTTTGATGGAACAAAAACGAGACCTGCTTCTGATTCCCAATTTCTTTCGCCTTTTTATATCCTCAAGCATCTAATTAGAGCCATAAAGTAGATAGATATTTGTTGTTTGGCTGAAGTTATGATCTATCTTAGTTTGTTGTGTGTGTGTGTTTTATCTGATCTCGTTTCAAATGATCCAAGGCCTCCGAGGCGATAATGCCCACATGATGACGGTGACTTGAGCCTAGATGGTATGCTTTAATGCATCACTGGTGTTACACTCTTCCAAAGTGAGTGATTCATTTGTGTCCTTCCTGGTGGCTTTCTTATTGGCTTACTAGAAAGTTGCCATAGTCCTATTTGATCGTTACTTTTGGTGCTTTGTTAAAAAGTTTCATTTATGAGATCGAGCTTCGAACAATGATGCTCGAGCCAAGTTCAAATTTGGATTCGGATTTGAATCAGTTTCAAAACCTGAACTTCAATTTGTAATTTACTTCTTGAAGATTCATTACTATGGCTTTTATTTGTAGATGCAAATAAACTTTTTTTTGTGGGTTTCCAAATTCACCTTCAAAGTATGCATGGTATTTCTTTATAAAAAAAAATGCTTTTCAGGCTCTCTATTTATTTGATTACTGGATTCAGTTTACCCAAAGCTATCACATCTTGGTATCATTTTTTTCTGATGTCATTGTTTGATAATTACTGATATTACTTTTGTTAATATCTTATGATTTTTTTGCTGTATTTAATTTTAATCCCCTTTCATTCTTATACATATATTTTAGTGGATGTATCACATGTTGGAGCATGCCTCTGTTGAAACATAAATCCCTTACTATGAAGTTAGAAGCTTCCTATGAACTATGGAACGATTTCCAAATGCCTGTTGGAACTAAAAGCTTGAAATGTAGTCTCGAGATATAATCTGCTGCCTGCATTGGTTTAGTAGATCCTGCTTCTTTTGTTTACTGAGAGGTCTATGGTATTACTCATGAGGGTTCATGGCATGCATAGAATAAGTGTAAAGCAGGCAATGCCATTAATATTAAATTACACTTTTTTAATAGGAAATTTCAGCTTCGTTGTTATTATTTACTTTTTGATCAGTAAAAGTTTTCATTTATTGTTTTCATTTGCATTATCAGTATGTGGAAACTTGTTTGATTTTAGTGTAGTCTTTTAAAATTTACAATTTTAACATCCTCCATCGTGCCGGAACCAGAAATGTTCTCTTTCTTGTATGTACATATTCACAAAGATTGAGCCTGATTCTTTTCATGATAAGCTATTTAGGAAAAAATGCTTGTAAATGTTGTTCCAATATACGTTCCTCCACAGGAGTAACTACCTTTCTTGCTTAAAAATTGATACTTGAATAGCTTTGTAGTTATGGAGAGCTGTGTGGTCTTGAGGGAAAAATATTGCTTTGTAGGTCAGAATGAATGAAAGGAAAAAAATGCTTGCTATGTTTGAAGGTGGTAATGTGATTTCTGATTATCTTATTTAATCCATTTCCAAGGAGGTGAACTACTACTCTATTCTTTTTTCGTTGTTGCTGCTTAGCAGCTTTGACACTTTTCTGGAATCAGTATATTGGAATAGTAAACCTTACTTAGTTCATCCAATTAAAGAGCTTCATTTAGAAAATTGGGATGTCGATTAATAGCATGATT